AGGGTGAGGTATTTAGGGAGGTAAGACTGGAGAGTCACTAGTGGGACTCAGCGCACCTTACTGAGTACCCTGAATTACTTTGAGGGCGCCAGGAAGCTTGGGAGGAATGGAGGAACAGTCACATAGTCACACTTGTGTTTGCAAACATCCCAGACAGAAGGAATGACATCAATAGAGTGGATGCCCAACATTGAGGGTGAGTGGGAAAAACGATGATATCAGAGGACTTTTTCTAAATAATATATAGGTTTTGGATTATAAAAGTAGGATATGTCCACTGTGAAGATTCTTAAAAACCAAGAAAACTTTAGAGTTGGAAAGTAAGTGGCTATGATCCTACCATTTGCTACTAGTGCGTTAGTGTAATTCCAGTCAGTGTTTTTCAGATCTCTGCTAAAGTATTCTTCAAAAGTATTCTTGTGTGCGCATTTGTTTTTTGAGACAGGGTCTCATTGTGTAGCCTGGGTGGGTCCCCATCAGTTTGTGGCATCCTCCTGTTTCTGACTCGTGAGCACTGACATCCCAGTTTTGTCCCACCATGTTGGATCACAACATTGTTTATTTACTTTTTATTTAAAAGATTTATTTTATTTTATGTAATGCATTCTTGTGTTTTGTCTGCATATATGTATGTGCACTGCATGTGTGCCTGGCACCAAGAGAGATCAGAAGAAATATCACATTCCCTGGGACTGGTGGTTATGAACCACTGTGTGGGTGTTAGGAACTGAGTCTGGGTCCCCTGAAAGAGCAGCAAGTGTTCTAAAGCACTGAGCCATCTCCCCAGCCTCAGCATCATTTATCTTTGCATGGCACATGCGTGCGTGCACATACCCATAGAGGCCAGAAGTAGACACTGGACACCTTCCCTCTGTTGCTGTCTACCATATTCTTTTTTAGACAGTCTCTCACTGAACCCAGGATCACCAGTTCTTCTGGACTGGTTGGCCAGCAGCCTCGGGGATTCTATTCTCTCTGACTCTACAGTGCTAGAATGGCAGGTGTGCACTGCCACGCCCATCTCTATGTGTAGGTGCTGGGATTGAACTCTGGTCCTCAAGCTTGCACAGCAAGCACTTCACCAGTTTCCCTATCTTCCTGGATCCCTTCCTTCTTTTTAAAGCTAAGACTCTGTCAAGCTGCCCGGACGGGTCTTGCCACCATGGGCTCAAGAACTGCTTCTGCCTCAGGCTCCCAAATGATGATATTAAATGTACATATCAGTGTGCCCAGCCTAAAAGTAAGATTTTGAGTGGTGAAACCATATTTCACCATAGACTTACATTATAAATTATTTAATCATTGCTCTGTTACAAGCATTTAGACTTTTGACGGATTTTCCCAGATCTAAACAATACTAAAATTTTTATCTTTATTATTATCTTTAAGCATAAATTGATTGCATCGACAACTATTGCTTTTAAAATAGAGTCTAACAAGGAAATTACTAAAATAAAGGACAAATACCTTGAACCTTTTGTTGACATATTACAAAACATTTTATATAGGTTATAATGAATATATGCTTTTCGCCAACAGTATTAAGAATGTCTAACTCCATTCTAATTGGAATTAAATTTTATGATTTAAGAAGTTATCAATTAGTATAGGCAAATATCTCATTTATTTAGTTCATATTACCTATATTAATTTGAAGACTTCATATTTCTCTTATGAACTGCTTATTCACAGCTTGGTCCATTTTTTTTTTTTTGATTTTTCCAGACAGGGTTTCTCTGTGGCTTTGGAGGCTGTCCTGGAACTAGCTCTTGTAGACCAGGCTGGTCTCGAACTCACAGAGATCCGCCTGCCTCTGCCTCCCGAGTGCTGGGATTAAAGGCGTGAGCCACCAACGCCCGGCCACACCTTGGTCCATTGTAAAACACTTTTAGTCTTTTCTATTGATTTGTAAGAACTTCTTACATATTAAGAATGTCAAATGTTTGTCTGTGTTTACTGAAAATCCTTCTCAGATGGCATTTGCCTTCAGTTTTTGCTAGCGGTGGGCTTTCTTTATTGTTTCATAGAAATTAAAACATTTTGGTGACTCATTTTGTGACTTTGGCTTTTTCCTTTGTATTTAACTTTTTTCTTTTCTTTTTTTCTAACATGTATCACAGGTTGGCCTCAAATGTACTATTTCCCTGAGGATGACCTTCTGATCCTCCTGCCTACACCTCCAAGTGCTGGAATGACAGGCATGATCTATATATGAAGTTTATAGTATGCTGGGGATTGTATCTAGGTCTTTGCTGATGCCAGGCAAGCACTCTATGCTTGAGCCTTGAAGTCCCTAGCCCCATGCATTTGTCTTTCTTCCTTCCTTCCTTCCTTCCTTCCTTCCTTCCTTCCTTCCTTCCTTCCTTCCTTCCTTTCTTTCTTTCTTTCTTTCTTTCTTTCTTTCTTTCTTTCTTTCTTGAGATAGGGTTTCTCTGTGCACTTACTTTGCATACCAGGCTGGTCTAGAACTCATAGAGATCCACCTGCCTCTGTCTCCCAAGTGCTGGGATTATAGGTATGTGCCACCACCACCCAGCACATTTAGCTTCTGAATTTTATCTTGATATGAGATCTAAGACAAGGGATTTTCTTTTTCCCAATCTCCCAAGATTTTGTCTTATTTTTAGGTGAAAGAAGACGGATAAAGGGGAAGAAAAGGGCACAGTCAGGGTTGGGCCAGGTTTCTGCTTATGTTTGATGGAATGACTCTAGAGATCTTTGAAGTGACCGACTTGGAGAAGCACAGAGGTGCTTTGATATGTTGAGTCTGAGTTGCTCTGCAAGGACTCTAGGGAGAGAGAGAGCTGGCAAATAGGCATGAAGCTCAGGGGAGAGGCTGGGTCTGAAGCTGTGCCCAGTCGTGGTTAAGATGGCAGAGGGAGCCACAGGCACGGACGAACTCTTCCAGGGTGGACACCTGCAGAGAAGCACAGCCTGCTGGATGGCAGTAGCACTGGAGAGGAAGCTGGGAATGGAAGTGAGAAGGATGGGAAGGAGTCCAAGACCGAATCAGAAAAGCTAAGGAAATGAGGGTCTAGGGAAGAGACAGATGCACACAATGCCAGTCAAGTCAGTGAGAGAACACAGGCTGTGATAGGCCAAATAGAATGGAAAGTGGGGAAACTGAGGCACAGTATGGTTGCTTTGAGTGATATTGTCAGTAAACTGAAAGAGCAAGATGGGGCAGTAAGAGGCTAAGATGGAAAGGAAGATCTGAGGCATTTGAAGGGAAAACACTGGTGGGAAGAGGGAAATTAAAAATAGGAGGGTCCTATGGGCGGTGGTGGCACACGCCTTTAATCCCAGCACTCAGAAGGTAGAGGCAGGCAGATCTCTGTGAGTTCGAGACCAAGCCTGGTCTACAAGAGTTAGTTCCAGGACAGCCTCCAAAGCCACAGAGAGACCCTGTCTGGAAAAACAAAAAACAAAAAACAAAAAACAAAAAACAAAAAAAAAAAAAGGAGGGACCAGGACAGCCAAGGCTACACTGAGAAATCCTGTCTCAAAAAACCAACCAACCAAACAAACAACCAAACAAACAAAAATCATGGGAGTTTTCAGGGCGTGATGGGCAGCTAGGGATATGGCTCTGAGGTAGAGGTTGGACAAAGGCACGAAGGGTGGGAGGAAGAGTCATTGCTGTCCAGGTTACACACGTCAGTGAAAACGACTATGGGGTCAAAGATGCTGGGAGGAAGTGAGAAGCACTTTTAACCTCTAGTTCACTTTGAGATCTAGGAAATGAGGTTGTCCATGGAGAATGAAGTAAACAGAGGGAAGGAAGGAAAGGTTATTACTACTATTTTACTATTATTATTATTTTAATGGAAAGGGATAAAACTGCTGTTAGAGAAAATGAAAACCCATTTGAGAGAATAGGAGAGGCATTCTGGGTCCAGCTGTTGTTGATCTCATTGGAACGGAGATGCAGTTTCTTAAGCATGAATCCCAGGCCAGGATCAAGGAGAAGGCAAACACTTTCGTGGACCTGGGATCCAAGTAGCAAAGAGGTGGGCCAGAAAAGCAAATGGGCAAGGAATCACATGAAGACATCCCTTAGAGAGCTTGAGCAAAGGGTCAAGGTTGGGCGGAAAAGGAAGTGAAGCTTGGGGGACTGAGGGGCTAGTTAAATTAGGAATGGTCCAGGGATTAAAAGTCTAAGTGAGGTCAAAAATAGATCAAGTGGGAGTGAGGGAGTAGGGCAGATGTGAGGATGGAGGGTTCTGGATGAAAAGAGATGTTTCTGAATTCAGGGTTTCTAAGATGGAGGCATTCCATGAAAGGTTTCGAGTGATGGGGTGGGACTGTGTGCATCTCCACAGACTTCTGCTGGAGGGCTGAGGGGTCCTAGAGCAGAGGGTCTCAGGATTTGGAAGGTTCACCTAGGTGCTGGTGTCACCAGGACAAAGATACAAATAGAAGAGAACAGTGGGACATCAGACCAAGTGCTTGTGTTCACGCTGACCAGGGGAGTGATGCCATCAGCAGATGACAGCAAGAAGGCATAGAGGGTCAGGTCACATCGATTCAAAAGAGCAGCTTGTACACAGGTGTCCAAGGACAGAGGCCTCAGCAGAGGTAACTTCTTAGGCCACTAGTGGAATGCACAGGTGCAGGACACTGGCAGGCCAGCCCAGGTTGGGCAGGGGCTTCAAGGCTGTGCTAATGTATTTCATTTGTTTGTTGGTTCAATCAGGCTTTCATTCCAAAAGGATCTGATATGTCGTCTGCTGCCCCTGAACCCCCAGCTAGGTGTGCTGGCTGCTGCTTCCAGAGGCATGAGCCAGGCCTGCAGCCTCTCCCCCTTTTGCCAAAGGTGGCCTCACTCTCTCTCAGCAAGTCCCCCACACCAAAGTCCTGTCACCAAAGCCAGGCAGGCCCTGACACCAGCTGATGGCCAGTAGGGGATCTTCTTGTTACAGCTTTTCCCCAGAGATAAATAGGCCACAGTAAAAAGGACTGCTACATCCTTTCAATAAAGATTTTTTTTTCTTTTCCAGACAGCTTGAGAAATGTTTTAAAAGCTTCTCACATTTCCAGCGAAACCCACAGAGAAGAATTTTGCTTGTTATCAGCCCTGGAAGCCTCTGATAGACGGGTGACATTTTTTTCCCTTTTTCTTTCTCTTTTTCTCTTTTCCTTTTTTTTTTTTCTCCAGCTGAAGAGAGTCACAGTGTGTTTTATAACTGGCTCTCTGCATTTCAAAAGCTCAACGAGGGCTCTCTGCTAACCCCGATAAGCCTTGGGCTCTTAGCGTCTTAAATACCCCTGACAAGCTATACATTACAGCGCTAATAATTTGCCAAATTTGCGCCCATAATATGATATCTGTAAAACGTCAAGGGCAGTAATGCGATTAGCGGTCTCAAATGAAATATCGAACATTCAGCGTTTAGGTCCTGAATAGGGGGAGAAAGGAAAGGAAATCAATTTCAAAAGCAGGAGGGAAAAAGGCGATAAGCGTGTAATAAAAATAGAGAGAGACAGAGGAGAGATGCGGAGGGAGAGATGGCGGAGCAAGACATGGGAAGATATACGCCCGACCTGCATTCATTTTTTTTTAAGGCAGGTAAGAGGTGTAAAAAACTTTCACAAATTAGTTCAAATATGAAGCTGGGAAATAACATTTGGTCACCACGGCAACCAGGGATAGATGGCAAGGGGTATGTGGGGGTTGGGAGCTGAGGAAGAGACTGGCCCAGCCTAGGGACCAGCCTTTCACTCTGCCCCCAACAGCCTGCTTCCATAAAACACAGGAAGTTGAATTACAAGGGGACTGAGGGTGGGCTCTCACCCTGCCCCCACCCACCCGAGGTGGGAGAGTCGTAATGGACTAATTATCTGGCCAGTAGAGAAGGTGGTGGTGGAGGGCAGCTCGCAGGAGAGCGGGCCCGGGCTGTCACATACCAGGCTCTAGACTAAATAACAACATCTCACACCTGCAGCTTTATGAGCCCCGGCCAAGAACAGCTTGTGCGAGCCCCCCACACCTCTGGCTTCTCCCTTTGCACTTTTGGGTCTCTCCTTTAGTCAGGCTGCTGCTGCTGGGGCATTAGAAGAGTCGAGGGTGGGGTGAGGTGGGGAATCTCAGTCCCTCACAACCTTCACGTGTCTGCAGGTACCCCTCCCTCTCTGGGGTACCCCAGAAATTTCTCCTGGGCCATCAGTAAGGCCAAGGGAATAGCATCATTAAAACAACCGCTGCTAGAGTACAGTGGAGACAGGTTTGTCTGCACCTGCAGCTCCCGGTCTTAGACTGGAACTGTGGGGCTGCATGGGATGGAGGGCAGGGATTCCTGGTGAGTTCTCCTGGGCCTCACATCTCTCCTGAGTGCTGTGCCGCACAGGGCCAAGTAGCTCTTTCAAAACATAGTGCATTTGCCTTTCCTGCACCACTTGATATTGACCCCATAACCTTGAATCTCATTCTTTTAGAGCCAGAGCTGCCTGAGGCGAAAAGAGAGGAGGATGATGGACACAGAGCCAGCGTCCTAGGAAGACGATGGCCCATGGGGAGCAAACAGCAAGACTGAGTCTTTCCCTTCTCCAAACACCAGCGCCCCCTAGTCCCTGACCTCCCCACAGCTGTTCACCTAGGCAGAGAGAGGGAAAGGTCTCCCATGGGGGAAAAGCAAACAGGCTGCTTGGGGCCTTCTCCGGACCCTTCCCCAGGGCTGCCTGGAATGGCCATTACAGGGCCACTTCTTGCGGCACCACGAGCCATTAAAGCAGGAGAGCTCGGGGAGCCATCAGCCGAGCGCAGATGACTTCCCCAGATGTGGTAGTGGGCAGGATGTGGAAGCCCCCAGCCCCAACTCTACAGACAAAACATTCCCCTACTAACCATCCTCGGAAACCCCACAGCCCAGAGCCCCTCTTACAGATGCTTTCTAGACCATTTAGCAGGAGGCAGTGTTTATTTTTGAACATATGTTCTTCCCTCATCCTCTGCCTTCCTTCTGCCTTCCTGGTCCTTCCATACCCAAGGCTACCCTATGCCTGGGCTGCTGTGGTTGTTTCTGCCAAGTTCCCAAGCTGGCATGGGCAGTGTGCTTTGTCTGGGTTTTACTGAGTGCTAAACAGTGTGTATGCATGCACACACATGTTCTCTGAGTGGAGCATGTACCACACAAACATTAAGAACGCAAGCTCTCAGAGGCCACATTTAGGATGAGCCTCTGCTCAGACACACAGTCCCGCACAATGATGTCTTTGGCTACTGCCTGATCTTCTGAATTCAAGTCTCTCTCTTTTGTGCAGTAAAGTGGAATAGAAGATCCTTAAGTGGCCACCTCAAATGTGATCTCCCACACGCAGCTTTCCTTAACTCACATAGCCTAGGGTTATGTTTCTTCCATGGAGGACTTACATTTACCGGGTACCTGTTGGGTGCCAGGCACATTTTAGGCCTTTAAAAAATATTTCATTTAACCTCTCAGTCTCTAAATATAACTGTTCTTATTTTTGTGGGCAACAGAGGATACTCCGAGAAGTTCGACAACCTGTCTAAGACATTGAGCAGATAGCAGAGCTAGAACTCAAACCTATGTGTCCCACAAACTTAGAAGTCCCACAGTCTTCCACCATGTGAAGGCCACAAAGAAATGTTTGTACCCATTTGTCATGGACCCTTCTTAAGTGTCTCCTCAAGGAAAGGACAGCATCCTAGCACTAGTCTGTCCTAAGCCCAACATCTAAGCCCCCTCAACTTTTGGCTTCACACATAGTTGACTGTCATCCAAAATTCTGATTTTCTCACACCCTACTACTCCCTCCCAGTCCCCAGACTGGTTTTTGGTGATTGCTTCTTCTACCTGGAATGCCTGACCTCCTGTTCATGCACTTAGTAATTCATTAATTTATCTTTCCATGCATTCAGTAGACATGAGCTGAGAGTCTCCCATATACTGGGTATGTACTAGACACTGGGAATACATTGATGGGCACAAAAAGGGTTCTTCTCTGTGCATGCAGCCTAGTGTGTGTGTGGGGTAGACATTCATAGAGCAGTGGCCGTAATAGATGAGAATCTACAACAACAGAGATTTTTTTTTTAACAACAGAGATTAAGAGTAGCCCATTACCTACAAGGCATGCGACTTCTTGCCAGGGGAAGACCTAGCTGACAGAGTATAACAACAGTGAGAGATTTGCTGGAAACCACATCTCCTACCCAACTTCCACCGGAGACCACTGACCTTGACTTTGTGCAGAAAATCTTTCAGGCAAGCCGAAATATTGCCTCATTTTCCTGGAAGATTCAGACTAAGTCAGGTCTCCATTGTATTCTATCTGTCTGTCTGTCTGTCTATAAGCCAGAGGCCAGCATCAAGCGTCATCCTTAATCGTTCTCATCTTCTTTTCTGAGACAGTGGCCCTTCACTGAGCCTGGCACTCATTCTGGCCAGGCTGGATCTAGGGATCCTCCTGTTTCTGTAACCATGAGGTTGTGTCTGGCTTTCTAATGCTTGTGGTGGGGATCCGAACGCAAGTCCTCACGCTTCCAAGGCAAGCACTTTGCCTGCTGAGCCACCGCCCAGCTTATCCTCTTGATTTTTCTCTCCAGAGCATTTCATTTCCATTTGGTCACCTGTTTAAAACCAATCATTCCTGTAAACCCCTTGAGGATAACAAATACGTTGCCTCAGTTTCCTGGTTTATGCCCAGTATTATGCAGTGCCTGGCATGCACTCGATGTTCAGCAGGTGTCTGATGAATATATCTGTCCTGATGTGGCTCAAGTTTTGGACTCAAGTGCGGGAATTTACATTTATCAAGTTTCATGTTATTAGATCATTCCAGTTTATTAGTATTTTAACCATTTCTATTTTTTACTAAGTACTCATTGTTTACTATGATCATATCCAGATATTGACATAAAAAACTGGAACATCCTTAGACTATGAAGAGTGTATAGTCTAGTTTGGAAGGCATACAAAACCAACAGTAATTAGGGCTTGAGAGATGGTTCTGTGGTTAAGAATGCTTACTGTTCTTCCAGAGGCCACAGGATCAGCTCCCAGTCTTACAATTGCTTGAAACTCCAGTTCCAGGGAACCTGATGCCATCTGATCTCCACTATCATCTGCATATGTGTAATATATACAAACCCATGCAGGCACACAATCATACCACAAAAGTAAGTATGTCTTTAAAGGAAAAGGATAGAAGTCTGGAAAGATGGCTCAGCAGTTAAGAGCACTGACTGTTCCAGAGAAACTCCCAGCACCTGCACCAGGCCCTCAAAACTATCTGTGACTACAGTTCTAGAGACCCCAACGTCCTGTTCTGGCCTTAATGGGCAATGCATGCACAGAGATCCATGCATGCAAAATACCCATACACATAAAAGAAAAGTATAATCACAAAAAAGAAAGAGAAATTGTAGTGCAGCTGTATCCCAGAGAACAAAACTCTTTGATCTATCTGGGCAGCGACACTTGGATTTAGTTTGATTGTAACGGGACAAGAGACAGGAAAGACCTGAATGTGTCAGTGTAAGCAAGTGTCCAATCACAAGAGAGTTGAGACAAGGGGCAAGGAGTTTTATCAGCACATGAAGATCAGAAATACACACACACACACTCTTTCTTCCTATTCTATTTCCCCGCCTCCAGTCTGTTTGGTAGAAAATATGGTAGCTTATGGTCACACGAGGCCATTTCTCAGGATAGTCATCAGTTAATATCAATCTGTGAGTCTGCTCTGGTCATTACTAGCACCACGCTTTCCAATGAAGCCCTGTCAGCGCTGGCCATTTGCCCCCAGAAGTCACAACTGTATCCTGCCAAACAGGTCTCTAAACAACTTGACCTAAGGAATGGTGATCTGAGTCCTTCACCTTCTCCTCACAATGTGTGCCTCACACCAATGCCTGCCTGACTTACTTTCTCTCTCACTCTTTTTGTGTGTGTGTGTGTGTGTGTGTGTGTGTGTGTGTGTGTGTGTGTGTGTGTGTTGTTGTTGTTGTTTTCCAAGACAGGTTTCTCGGGGGCTGGAGAGATGGTTCAGTGGGTAAGAGCATTGACTGGCTGCTCTTCCAGAGGTCCTGAGTTCAATTCCCACAACCATCTGTAATGAGATCTGGTGCCCTCTTCTGGTATGAAAACAAAGCACTCATATACATAAAATAAACAAATAAATAAATATTTTTAAAAAGGACAGGTTTCTCTATGTAGCTGTAGTTGTCTTGGAACTCAATGTGTAGCCCAGGCTAGCCTTGAACTCAGAAACTTTAGCCTGCTTCTGCCTCCCGAGTGCTAGAATCAAAGGCATGCACCATCATGCCTGGCTTTATGCCTGACTTTCACGGGATCTGTTCTCTCTGAATGGAAAGGCAGGGAGGAGGAGATGAGCAGATCTCTTAAATCTTCTGCTCTTGGTGAAGCCCCCGGCTCCCTGTAGTACCAGCCCCACTAGGCTAGTCACGGTTCTCTGCTCGATTTTCTTTCTTTTCCTCTTTTGCAAATGTTCCTCCCTCTGAGTGGAACACCCTTCCTCTGGCTTCCAGTCCAGCTGGTGCCCATGCCCTCCATCCTGTGGAAAGTGGTTCACAGATGCCTATGTTGCCAGAGGTGCTGGAGATCAAACTCTGTGCAAGCTCACCTTGGAGCTACACTCCCTGCCTTTGGGCTTTTCCAGATAGTCTTCCTATGTTGTAGTTCAGGCTAGCTTTGAACTAGTTATGTCATCAGGGGCGGCTTCCCAAAGTCTCCCATGTCCAGCGGCCTCCACTTCTGAGGCTCCATTGTACCCTGCACTCACTTTGAGAATGGTGCTAAGCCTCTCTTCATTTTACTATACATGTTTCCGTATCCATTTCCCTTTCTTGCCTTTAATTGGCCATCGTATATTCAGGGCCTATCATAGCGCTTGTCGTATACTAAGCTTTAAATAGTTATTTGTTGATTAAATTCATGACTAAATAAATAAATGACTGAATGAACACACTTCTCATTGTTTTCAAAACACAACAGGCTTATTGATGACTGTGCCTTTCTCTGCATGTCATTCCAAACCCAACTGTCTCTTCATTTCTCCCCACACTGCCAACAGATCTGCCCTTCACTTCCTTGCTCTCCATGGTAGAAGGTGCCTCTGCCCGTTGCTTCATATGAGAAACCTGAGACTTTTTCCTAGTTCCTTTGCAGATATCGTCATTGTTCATTGTTCACCACATACCTGTGCTGACCCAGGTACCTAAAACAAGAGGACGTGGCCCCCAGACTTCAGAGTTCACTTTCTAATTAGGATGAAGTTGTTAAATGAATGGCATTTAAGCAAAAGGGTGTGTGTGTGCTAGCCAATGTGTAGAGGTTAGAGGTCAGGTGTCCCTCTCAATGACTCGTCATCTTGCTTTATTTGTTCTTTTGTTTTTCCATCCTGTATTTTGACAGGATCTGTCATTGCACTTGGTTAGACTGGCTCATCTGTCCATCTGTCCACGAGCTCCAGGGATTTGCTCTTTTGCTGTTTTTGCCTTTCTAGAACTAGGGTTACAAGCACACACCACCAGTGCTGGGATTACAAGCACACACCACCATGACTGGCTTTTGTGTGGGAGCTAAGGATTGAACTCAGGTCATCCCACTTTTGCAGCAAGTCCTTCACCACCTGAAAAACATCTCCCTGACCCCAGGGCTAAGGCAGGCTCTCTCTCTTCTCTGAGAGAATCCAGGAATGCTACTTGATCCCTGATACCCATGAGAGATTGCACCCACTAGGAACTGGTAAAGAGGAAAGAGTGTGGGCATGGGCATTAGGAGGAGGTGGGCTTAAATCTAAAGTTGTCCGTATCCTGACACATTTTATTAAATACTCCTTTCTGACAAAAATATATAAAATGCTCAAGTATAACACATGAGTGCATTTTCCACACTTGGTGTTCTGCAGGGCTTAATGACTCTGTAGGGAACAAGAGAGATGGAGCTGTCTCTCTACACCC